AAGAGCCTGAGAATCAGGGGCTTTGCTGTGAGACTGTATATTCTAGGAATGCCAGAAGCAATACTATAAAGTCTCATCAGCATGACTCCATCAATAAGAGCTGAAGAAGTACAACAACACTAGATAGCCAAAGCAGACAGGGAAAACCCAGGAGCCTCAATCCTATATAAAACACTATAGGGAACTAAGGAATGCTTAAAGTGGGATAAACAGTCTTCCCCAGGGATAAACACACCAATGGGTTATCCAAAACCAATTGTTAGTCCTGAAACATACACACAATTAACAGTATACTGACCTAGCAGGTGATATTCATCTATTTAGGAATATATGCGTATGTAACAATAATTAATGAAAAAATAAGGTCATGAATACGAATTTGAGAAAAAAAGGGGAATATGGGAGGATCTAAAGGAAGGAAATGGAAGGGTGAAATGATGTAATCATACTAAAATCTCAAAAAATAAATTAGTAATAAAAAAGAATCTACATCTCCATCTGAGAAGACTCATTTGGAAACTGTAGACTATGGCTCAAGTGATGCAATGTGTGACTTCTAAGGTGAAGTTAGGAAAGGCAAGCTCTTAGTGGATTCCTTGAACACCCATGCTTGCAAACCCACCTAAGCTGTTATTATCAAGCCTACCTATTCTGAGATCACATAGCAATGAGGACGCGAGGCAGATGGAGAAACCAAATGAATGCTATCACAGCAGGTACCAGGCTTGTGAAACTTCTAAAGAATCAAACTCTTGGCTACAAGGATAGCTTCAGCCTTCAAAGGTCTTTTGCCTGAGGCCCCAGAAATCACAAACTAGAGTCAACCCATTCCCATTGTGACCTTTCCAATTCTTGAAATATGGGTACATAAACATGATAAATGGTAGAATAAAAAAGTCCCTCATTGACTGGATCTTGATTTTGGAGATTTTTTTTTTGGTTTTTTGAGATACGGTTTCACTGTGGCTTTGGAGGCTGTCCTGGAACTCGCTCTGTAGACCAGGCTGGTCTCGAACTCACAGAGATCCACCTGCCTCTGGATCTCTGTATAGACTGAGTATTATAACATCTTATAGAATTCTTAATTGACAAATATTGATATAAACAGTATTATCATAGAGGGAGGCATTCTTAGGAAATACTCAAATATTAATAGGCAAAATATTGATAGTTATATGTTATTTTGAAGTGCCTCAGGAAAAAAAACTATAGATAGCTTTGACAAAATGTTAATATTATAGAAGGTAGGTATTAACTAATGTGTATTTATGTACGTATATGTTATTTTTCTTATCCTTGTGACCAAATAATTTAAGGGAAAAAAGTTTATTTTGGCTTGGTTTGAAGTTCTTTTTTTTTTTTTTTTTTGGTTTTACGAGACAGGGTTTCTCTGTTTTGGAGGCTGTCGGTCCATCCTGGCCTCGAACACACAGAGATCCGCCTGCCTCTGCCTCCCGAGTGCTGGGATTAAAGGCGTGCGCCACCAACGCCCGGCTTTGGCTTGGTTTAAAGTTCTTTTTGAGCTGGGTGGTGGCAGCGCATGCCTTTAGTCCCAGCATTCGCAAGGCAGAGGCAGATGGATCTCTGTGAGTTCGAGACCAGCCTGGTCTACAAGAGTTCGTTCCAGGACAGCTAACACAGAGTTACATAGAGAAAAACCAAAAAAAGGTTCTTTTTGGCTACAGTTCATATTAACAAACTATTGTCAAAGGAATAGAGAAGCAGTCTTATACATCATTTTGTGGGTGCATAAACAATATGTAAGGTGTATTTTTTTGAATAAGAGCCAGGTATGTTACACATAGACAAATGTCTATGAGTTCTAAGCCAGCCAAGTCTACACAGTGAGACCCTGTCAAATAACAACAAACAAGTAAAATGCATTACTAAGTGAGAAAAGCAAACACAGTACATAGGGGAATCTTACAATTGAATAAAAAAGACAAAAAAATCTATGAAAACCTAAGGAATTGTTAACAGTGGCTTACTCCAAATGGAGAAGCGGAAGGCTACAGAAATAGGGTAGAAGAAACACTTTTCAATGTTTATCCTTATACAAACTGACCATTCTATGATTTCATGGAGATTCAGTCTAAATAAATTACCAGAGATACATGTAAATATGCTTACTTCAAATGTTATTACTAATTATAAAACCTGGCAATGGCATAAATGCACACACATTAAAGAAGTTAGGTATTTTCATGGAGAGATATTTTTAGCTATTAAAGTATTTATAAACAAGTACAAAGGAAAATGTTTGTAATATAGTAATGCAAAAGGTACAATTTAATAGTTTGTATTTTTACAGTCAATCCTTAGTAAATGCAGAGTGCTAATCATAAGACAAAGTATATATTTCTTTAATAATACAACTGAGAAAGAACAGTTAATGGAAAAATGGGGAAAAATAGTAGGAAGTATATCAGAAATTGATGAAAGGAAAATAGAAATTAGGTTGATAAATTGAGAAATAGTGGTAAAAACTCTTTGAGACATGGTCTCACTATGTAGACAAGGCTGACTTCAATCTAACTATGTAACCCAGGCTAACCATAAGTCTGCAATACTTTCATTTTCTGAGACAAAGTCTTATTATGCAGACATGGCTGGCTTGAAAACTACTATATAGATCAGGCTAGCCTCAAACTCACAGAGATATGCCTGCTGCTACCTTCCAATGCTGAGATTAAAGACATATGCCTGGCAAAAATATTTTTCCATTTATTTATTTATTTATTTATTTACTTACTTACTTTTGTTCTTTGATTAAAAAAGTATGAAGTTTTATTATACATGTATTATTTCAAACCTTCCTCCCCCAGGGATTAAATGCAGAGTCTTACATGATAAGCAAGCACTCTACTACTGAGCAATATTCTCAGCCCCACAGTGTTATTTCAACCAGAAAAAGAAAAAATGATAGAAAAACAAAACACACCAGGTTTGGTGGCACATACCTTTAATCTCAGCACTTGGGAGACAGAGGCAGGTGGATCTCTGTGAGTTCGAGGTCAGCCTGGTCTACAGAGTGAATTCCAGGACAGGTCCCAAAGCAATACTGAGAAACCGTCTCTAAAAACCAAAAAAAGAAAGAAAGAAAGAAAGAAAAAGAAAACACTAGAAGGAAATGTCAAAATGTTAAAACAGTGGCTGCTTCTGAATGACAACATCCTTGATGACTTACTTCTTCATAATTTTCTTTACTTTTAGTACTTCAATACTTTTCACATTTTTCTAGTATACTAGTCAAAAGTTTTATCTTCATAGAGGAAGCTAAAGGTTATAACTATAGGAATAGGAGCTGGAGAGATGGCTCAGAGTTTAAGAACATTGACTGCTCTTCCAGGGTCCTGAGTTCAATTCCCAACAACCACATGGTGACTCACAACCATCTGTAATGAGATCTTGTGCCCTCTTCTGGCCTGTAGGGATACATGCAGACAGAGCATTGCATGCATAACAAATAAATAAATAAATAAATAAATAAATGAATAAATAAATAAATCTTAAAAAAAAACAAACAAACTATAGTAGGCCGGGAGTTGGTGGCACACACCTTTAATCCCAGCACTCAGGAGGCAGAGGCAGGCAGATCTCTGTGAGTTCGAGGACAGCCTGGTCTACAGAGTGAGTTCCAGGACAGCCTCCAAAACAATACAGAGAAACCCTGTCTCGAAAAACCAAACCAAACCAAACAAACAAAAAAACTAGAGAATAGAGAAAATATGCCTGATTTTTTGTAAATTGCTGATTCACTCACTAATACACATTCCAAGAATTACAGAGATAATAAGCTTAGGCATGCAATTTGCTGTAGTCACTGGGACAATAGCAAACATGACAGTAGAAGCTTAGAAGCTTGAAAAGTGTGTGTATTTTGAGGCTTATTCTTTCTTGCTGATGAAATTCCATTGCCACTCTGTGAAAAATCCTGGACTGGCCTCCTGGAGGATAAACGGGTATATGAAAAGGACCTAGCTAACTTTATACTACCTAGTCCAAAATCGAGCTGCCTGAGATTGCAGGAACAGCTTACCCAACCTACAGAATCATGAGAAACGGTAAATATTCTTTTAGGCCATTAGGTTTTGGATAGCTTGCTAAGCAGTAAAAGCACCATGGGCTGGGGAAGATAATTCAGTGGCTAAAGAACTTGCCACATAAGCATGAGAACTGGAGTTTGGATCCCCAAATTCATGTAAAAGTGGCTGTGATACTGAGCATGTACAATCCCAGAATGCCTACAATGAGATGGAGGCAGAAACAGAAGAATCCCTGAAAGCAGGGTGTATTGAAGCACTGAACAATAGATCCTGCCTCAAATAAGGTAGAAGACAAAGGCCGACACCTGAAGTTGTTCTTTCATGTCCACATAAACACAACTGCATGCACTCATGAACAATCACACACGAGTGAACACACACATTCAAACACTACATATAGAAACATACATCACACATATTCAAATTTTAAAAAGTTCCCAAATGCTCTTAGGTGTAAACAGCCCAATCAGTGAGATGAAGAAAATTATTTTCCATCTCAAAATTCCATGTTGAACTCAGTGACCTACTTTCCCTCTCTTCCTTCCCTTCCTCGATGATGACTTCTCCGTAGGTGATAATCTTAAGATTCTTGCAGAGCCTAAGAGTCAGCAAAATTTTCCTCCTTGGAAACAAAATTACCATGGGGAGCTGGGATGATGGCTACCAGAATGTTCTTAGAAACCCTAGACGACTTATTGAAATTTTCCTGGTTCCCTTCATCTCAAGTCATATAACATCAAAACAACAGCTATAAGTTTCCTGGCTAGATTACATACACTGTGTCACACAATTATTTTAGCTCTGGCACCTACCATGATACTAAATGTAACAGATTTTTTTCTGACTAAGCAAATGAGTGACTGAATAAGATCTTCTTGTATCACGTTATCTCATACTTTAACTTTTTTTCACCCGATCACACCTGCAGAGTTTAAGACACAGATACTAGATCACCTTTAGGACTCCATGGAGCATCATCTGAATTCTTCTTTTTCTTGGGTCGAGATTTCAAAGCAGGGTCATCTTCATCAGACTCCAGGGATGGATATACTGTAGGGAGAGGTGAAAGCAGGAAAAATGAAATCTCATCCAAAAAGGCAATGACAGAATGACACATACTTCAGCCCTTCTTACTCCTCTTCAAGTATACTCATTTACTTATTCCTCAATCAATTGCAGAAGGTCCCTAAATATCTGACATTTTGTTACTTTTCTATGGTTGTACCTTTGTTATAAAAGTCCTTCTTCTACATTCACTTAATTCTGGCCAACATCACTCAGTTGAATTACTTAGCTCAACTTTTTAAAATTTAGCCCTAGATTTAGCCCTGTAAGATGCTTTTCCTCGTTCTTGTAATCTGATTCAGATTCCTCCTTCTTAGCTCTCCATGCAACCTGTATTATGCTTACACTGGAGATACTTTGTTGTACTTAGAAACTGATTATTGTATCTGCTGCCTCTAATTACAGGTGAGGCCAGGGATATGTGTTTGATTTTATATTAAAGAAGTCCCATACAATGAAGAGTAGGTATTTTATTGTTTGTGAAATAATAGGAAAAATAAATAGCATGCACTTAATACACATAAAAACATTTAAATTGAACTGGGGCCAAGATTAGTGAAACTGCATGATCACTGATAAATATACAAGTATCCTACCTTACAGAAACAAATACAAGTATACAGAATATCACAAAATCCATTGGCAATTCCTTATAATCCACAGGCAAGACACTTAGGATTTCATGGGAATATAGTCTAGAAAGAGCCTATTGATGAAGGAAAATTCTGATGCCACTCCCAAGTCTAGAAGCGGATTTTAATTAACAACCTCATAGGAATGCTCCTCTTTCTTCTTTCCAGAAGGCGTCTCTACAGAAAAGTTAAGTCTATTTTTCAGACCTTCCTCCTTCAGCGAAGAGGTAAAAACTTTGTCTCCTGACTCTATTTTCTTTCAAGAAAAGAGGATTCAATTGTTCTTAGAAAAGAATGAGTACTAATAACACAGCTCTTTCAGGAAAAGCCATCACTATTACTTTGTAGATCTGAAAGCTTTTCAACTCCAAAGAAAATAAGTATGGCATAGCAGAAAGACTTGGTACCTTACGGTCAGAAACTACTTTGAAATTGGATGACATAGTAGTGGTCTAAAAACAGTTTCAGAATCTTAACCCATCAAATCAAATTAACAGATAATACCTAACCTTGCCTTACAAAGATGTGTTCCAAAGTTGTACTTAAGAGATGATATGTGTGGGGCAGGAATATGGTTCAGCAGGTAAAAATGCTTGAAATGCTTGTTGTGCAATCCTGGTGACTTAGGTTTGGTTCCCAGAACCCACATAAAGGTGGGAAGAATGAGCTACATAAAGTTGTCCTCTGATCATCCACCCACACATGATAATACTTTTTAATTTAATAAGAAACAGATAATGTGTAAAGTAACTTACATAAGGAATTCCATTCTGAGCTTCACATTTTAATTAACAGGTAATAAGGTATAGATTACAAATTAAGTCTATGCATTGAAAGAAAATATATTTAAATATGCATATTAAAATAAGGTTGAAGCCATTTTCTGATTTTAAAACATCTTACTAAACAATAATAATTAACTCAGTGTACAACTGGCATAAAGGCAGGTACAAGAACCAATGAAAAATAATATTCTTTTGTTTTTTGGTAGAAGGTCTCACTCTGCTGCCAAGGCTGACCTCAAATATCAAATGCTTCTGACTCCTGATTGTTGGGATTACAGTTATAAACCACCATGACCAGCTCTCACTAAGATTTTTGTACCTGTTTCCTTTTTTATTAATACTTTTAGTTGGCATACTAAATAATGGGTTATGGCATTTTATGCATATGTCACTGTATACTGCACATATGACTCCACCCTTCCATAGATGTTCTCCTCAGTACCGATAAGTTCTAAAAGACTAAAATAACACAAAGCATCTTCTCCAACTACAAAAAAGCGAAAAAGTCAGTAACAGAAAGATAAATGAAAGATTCTAAACTAGTTATATGTTCTCAAAGAGAATGAAAGAAATAATCACATGTGTGAGTTCAAAATTGTGATATGGGATCAGTGAGATGATCAGTAGTTAAAGATGCCTACCACCAAGCCTGAACACATGAGATTAACCTCTGGGATCTACATTGTGGGAGGAGAAAAATCTCCCACAAATTGTCCTCAGACCTCCACACATACATAACACAAAAATAGAACATACGAAAACTTTAAAAGATGCTGAAAAACAGTACACAGATACCAATTTAAACCTGTAAGTACCTATACTTAAAAAGATGAAAGATCCTAAAACAATAGCCCACCTTCATACAAAAAGAATTATTATGTTTCCCATCAGCCCCTGCCACCATCTTCATACCCACAGGCCACAGTTTACAAAAGAATTTTGCCTGATATATCCACCCACTCCTATCCATCCCTTTGCACAGGCCTAGTGACCGACCTGTGACTCTGATATAACCTGGTTAGTTCCTCCCCTATAAGCCCATCTCCCTCTTCCACTCTCATCTCCACAACCACAGGCCTAACTCAAAACCACAGCTCCAATACTGGCTTTGCCTGGCCTAGGTCCAATCCAGTAGCTCATACACACATACATACACCAGTTTTACTTAACCTAGTTATGGGCACATAGTTCCTGCACTGGTCAAATCTAAGGAAAGCTAAATTCACACATTAGACACACAACCAAAGAAGTTCGCAAGCCCATCGAAAAACAATATGAAATACCAAAACAGTATATGTCCCATCAAACCCACTAGTCCTATAGAAATGTTCTCTAATGGGAACTATCTAGTTGAACTCCAGGGCATAGAATTAAAAGAATAATATCATTAAGGAATTCAAGAAGTTTAAAAGAAGATACTAACACCTCATTGAACTTCAAGAGGATAACAACATACACTTGAGTGATGTTCAACAAAACATGAATACAAAACTGAACAAAATGATAAGACAATTCAGGATTTAAAAACTAAATTGAGTAATGAGATAGAAATATTGGAGAAAATTCAAGCTGAAATGAAAATAGAATTGACAAACTCAATGACCTGACCCTCAATCCCCACCCCCTTAGCCACTATTCCTAGCCCACTTCCATTCCTTTGTGACAACCCTGACAACCCTCAGAACCACTTTCTGCTAGGGACAAAGACACCATATTTGGCTGGGACCCAGGTAGACTACCAGTAGACTACGCTTTCCTCTCCTCTATTCTGTTCCCTCTTCAATGCTTAGCCCTCTCCTTCTAGTTCATCTCCATTTCCCTCAGACCTGTGGCCAGATCCAGACTACCCTTAGTTCTGCTTCTGCCACCTTTCGTGAAGCCAGACCCCAAGTCCTAATTAAGAGACTTCCAGAGTCAGTCCCCATCCTTTCCCTGTAAAACTCGACTCCAAATGGATAAGGACCTAAACCACATTAAAGGAAAAACCATCAGCATAATACCTGATTTCTCAATGGAAATCTGAAGGCCAGAAGAGCCTGGAGCAATGCACTTCAAGTTATAAAGACCACAACTGCCAACCCAGACTGCTGTACCCAGGAAACTGACATAGTTAAGGAGAAAGGAAAACATTCCATAAGACTAAAGCAATCTTTTGGTTGCACATTATGGTTTCCAATTTTGTGTTTTTATGGGAATTTTTTTGTGTGTATTTTTTTCTATTCTTGTTTGTGTTTTTATTTTGCTTGCTTGTTTGTTTTGGAAAGAGACAGAAAGAAAGGGAATGATGTTTGGTGGCTGGGGAGTTTGAGAGGATCTGGGAGGAGTTGGGGGAGGGAAAACCATGATCAGAATACTTCTATAAAATAGACTACATAATAGGACACACACACACACACACACACACACACACACACACACACACACAAAATCAGAAAAACTCCACGTATCCTATCTTACTGTAAGATAATAAAACAAAATCAAAGGAAATAAATCTCTAGTAAATACACAAATTCTTGGAGATAAGGAAATAAAACAACCCACTACTGAATGATGAATGGGGCAAAGAAGGAATCAAGAAAGAAATAAAAGAAAAAAAACGGTACGTAATGACAATGAAAACACAGCATAATAAAACCTCTGGAGGGAAAAGTATGGCTCTAAGTGTCTACATTAAAATCAGAAAGACCCTGGGGCTGCAGATATGGTGCAGTGTTTAAGAGCATTGGCTGATCTTCCAGAAGTCATGAGTTCAATTCCCAGCTACTACAAACAGCTCACAACCATCTCTATCTCTAGTGGGATCTGCTGCCCTCTTCTGCCATAAAAGGTATACATGCAGATAGTGCTCATGCATAAATAAATAAATCTTAAAAAAATCAGAAAGACCCATGTCAGCACTGGGGAGTCAGAAGCAGGCAGGTCTCTGTAAGTTCCAGGCCAGTCTTTTTCTCTGTATTGTTTTGGAGGCTGTTGGTCCAGCCTGGCCTTGAACTCACAGAGATCCGCCTGTCTCTGCCTCCCGAGTGCTGGGATTAAAGGCGTGCACCACCACCGCCTGGCAAGTCTTATCTCCATTGAAAGGCTACACAGTAAGACCCTGTCTCAAAAACAAATTTAAAACAGAAAGAACACAAATATGTGACTTAAAGATACAACTCAAGAATTTGGATAACAAGAACAAAGCTAATTCAAATCCGGTGTATTGGAAGAAATAAAAAAAAATCACAGCAGAAACTAATAAAATAGAAACAAAGAATACAATATAAAGAACCAACAAATCTGTTTCTGTAAGATGAACAAAAATTGACACTCTTGGCCCAACGAAACAAAGAAAGAAATAGTGACCCAAATTAGCAGAATCAGAAATGAACAGGTAATTTAAAAAATCATTCTAACTACAAAAGTCCAGGTCCAGATGTATTCACAGAAGATTTCTAACAGACATGCAAAGAACTACAGCCAATCCTTATTATTTAAAAAGTAGACTAGAAAGAACACTTCGAAGCTCCTTTTATGAAGCCAGCATTATTCTAATACAGTACCAATACCAGGTAAAGACAAAATAATA